GGAAAAGACTTTGGAATCATGTCACCTCCAAACAGCTGCGAAACTTCTAGTATGGAGTCACCCATGGATAGCTACCTGGAGACCAGTACTCTCGATCTGGAAGATCTCCAACATCGACCTGGAATGGGAAGACCAATATTTTCTTCGTGGGCCCGGACTGAAGGTGAGCGCTAGCGGCTACATCAAGCAACTCGTCAAGAATATCCTCCTCACATGTGGTGCCCGTACCTTCTTGGAAACTTTGTACTGCTACAGCATTGGGTGCCACCACATGGAATCGAAGGGCATTGGAGAAACTCTCGCCTACTTGGAATGGAAGGGGGCTGAATACCTAAAGAAGGTGGAATATCCAAGTAGGTCACCTGACCTGAATCCCCTCAATTACCCGGTTCGGGCGGAGTTCAATAGGGTGGTCTACGGTGGCGGAGAAATCGACTATCTCGCTGATCTCAGGCACCACATCGCGTCGCGTGGCCAGAATCTCTCGATGGCGCTCCTCCAGAAGGCGGAGTGTCATGATAGTATTTAATATGCTCTTTAATATGGTGGTAAAATGTCCGATCAGAATTTAATAAAGTGTAACTTATAGCGCCTCGAAAGTCAATGAAGGAAAGTGACTTTTTTTTTGCCCCCCTCCTGTTAGCGCTAGATATGCGGTTCATTTCGGACGGCTTGCTCTATGTGATTCATAATGAACGACTTGTTCCTGGAAGCTAACATGTGTCATGGTTGCATATGTCGCCCTGGGCGGACATATGTAGGCCGTTCAAAAAGCTTCTCAAGAACGGGTCCCTTTCACGAAGTGGGTTTGGACTCTCAGCGCATAAGATGACCACGTTCCACATCTTATTGGTGGAGGAACCGTATTTGCCCTTGATAAACCATATGTGTTGATCGGGGCTCTTTTAGATCCGGTATTTATTCCTATAAAGCTAGGCAGTAACACATAGCTGGAACGAGGACGCTGAGATGGACCTGCGACTACACACGGCTGGATAGGGTCAGAAATGAGGATGCCAAGGCTGTCACGCAGACGGCTCGGCTCCGATCTAGCTGAAGGCACGTACTGCAGCTCTGGCGGGGTATTGGTACCGTGCCATTTAGAAGGCCTGGGATGCACCTAGTGAAGGTTGGCTTCAAAGTACAGGATAAGCGACCATGTGGGGCCCTTAAGGGAATATGGCGGGGCCACTAAGAAGTTCCCCACTGAAGTGAAGTGTGAAGTGAGTGCCACAGCAGGAGATGCATTGGATAGGAACAAGTGGACATCCAGCGAGATCAGCCAGTGTCGCGATGGCGCGGGACTAAGCCAAAGCAGAGGGATGAAGAAGTCAGAAGACACATTCAGTTGATCACTGTTGCTAGTTCAAAAGAGAATACAGTTAGTTCGCTTTTATAGGGCGGATCTCAAAAAATATTATTTCAGAAGGCCGCCAAACGAAAACAGATCAGAGAAAACGGTTACAAAAAATATCAGCAGATGATGTTCAAGGTGGGTTTCCATCTTAGAGTCATTTTCGTAATGAGAAACGAGCGGTTTACCATTGAGACACGCGTGAAAAAAAAAGAAATTAGGCGCCAGTAACCTTGGGTTGGGTCACATCTGTGAGGCTTCTCAGTATGTGACTTTCCTTTTCTCCTTTCGCCTTTTCACAATCGTGTCTCACCCTCCAAATTCTGTGAATTCTCGACTAGTACCCTGTAAAAGCTTGTCAGGCTTGGCGAAATGGGGCAAGTGTTATAAGAACGCCATGGGAACAGTTCGGCGACGAGGCAGGGGGGGGGGGGAGAGGAGCATTTTTGAGCTTATCTGTCATTTTTCGTCAACGTGGAGACCCATCTAGAGAGCATTTTTGTGAGTTGACAGGTTTCACCGTGGTGGCTCGACGAGCTTGCTCCAGCTTCACAAGAGTTGACAGGTTTTTACCAGAAGTGGACGACCAATAAAACCGGAACTATGAAGGCAGTGAAGGCAAAATGCTCCCCCCCCCCTCCGTGACCAGATTGCGCTGAACGCCAATTCTTCATTTTTTCCGAATCTTGACGAGTTATTCTGACAAGTTCAAGGAGTTTACAGGGTGCTTGACAGGTGATAACAAGTCTTGCAGGGTGTTGACAAGTTCATCCGATATTCACGTCTGCAATTTACAGGATTTGGTTTCAAAAGATTATAGGTGTGCCCCCCCCCACAAACTATGTCGCGACCAGAAGTACTCTGAAATTATAGTTTTGCTTTACAGAGTGGTCGTAACATTGTCCCAGTCCGGCTATTCTTCGACACCGACCCAATTGGACCACCGAGGAAGGATACAAGTGAGGAGTTCCCAAAGCGCGTCACTTCGCCCTCGCCTGATGACAAGAAAGTCACGCAGAGGGTGCCCGTAGTGAACGTAAATAACAGTATCCAAAAAGAAAGTAAACCACAGTTGAAGGAAGTGAAGGAACTGAAGAGGACGGAACCACGCCTTCTCAATTCCGGAAACACCAACCTAGAACCAGTTACCAAGGAAGATCTACCTGTTATTGGACCAGAACGGCCTACAACGCTTCCAACACCATCTCGTGAACAGACCTCAGGTTCAGGTTCGGCTTCAGGTTCAGGTTCAGGTTCAGCTTCAGCTTCGTCGGGAATATCGGGCAGTATCGAAGAAGATGAGATCGGAGGTAGTGGAGTTGCACCAGCTGCAACTAGCGAATCCCAAGAAGATCTCTATTGTTACATCAAGCGTAGCAGCTTCATCATCATTGGTCAATCATAAAGCACGTCTTTTAGAATTCGGCAACATCCTCGCAATCGCTTTTTGTCCTACATTTTTTTGTCTGAACCATTCAGACACCAAAGCTCATTACTCAAAACTGTGATTTTTTTCATTTTTTTTTTGTTGACTACAGCGCTGCTTGCCTGTCAGGTACTTTTTTTGGGGTTGGAGGTGTGTGGGGCGGTATGGGACAGCCCGGCAACAATAAGGAGTTTCGGGAAGACGGCGGCGGGTTCAGGTCCCCCAAGCGGCCCGCAAATCATACACGCAAATCAGCTCAAAACCTGGAATACTATCACAAAGCACCATACCTGTAGTCAAGGGTTCATTCGCAAGTGAAGTACCTTGATCTCATATGCACAGATTCAGCGAAGCAAAAGATTCCAAATGGTGGTACGACTGTTGATCAATTTGGAAGGCGCGTCCCTACACTCCCCACCAGACCCATCATCCCTACCACACAATCTCCACGAATCACCGTTCCAGTAGTACCAGATAGCTGGTCTACACAGGCGATCGCAGCCGATACGGTGCACACTCGTATCATGCCCACTTAAACACTTCTCAAGTCATTCTCGTCATTGAAGACACCCGTAGACATTGCCACAAAACGACTACCATCACCATCACCACCACATAAGAAAATATCTCAAAACAGACTGATCGACGAGAATCGAAGGAAGTCCTCTGGTGTACTTGGCCTGAAGGGTCTGCTGCAGGCAAGGAATCAGAAGCAAAAGTTCACTCAACATCACAATGGCGCCACGCCGACATTTGGCACAGTGGATTCCGATAAGATATTCCGACAACCAACACCAAGCAGACACACGGCGTGGACAGGAGGTCAGTTCATCAAAACACGACCGAGGTAAAAAAATCGATAAACTTGCGTTAATTCCACTGAAAGTTATAAAGTTATACTAATAGAAGTTTTAGAAGTTTGAAGAAATTGTAAAAGGTGTCAATTTTCATTGAAAATTATTTCTAAATGAGAAGATGAGCATCTTGGCGTTGATCAGCCCTATTCTCGAGATGCGCCATGCACTCTTCTCCCATTCATAATTGCCGTTCTTTCGAGTGCGTCCCGACCTAGGCAATAGCTTGCACAAAGCAGGGTGTTCAAATACTATCTTCCTGAGACAGGTTACCGGCCCCAAAGTGGTGAAAATCTCAGTTGGTCCAAGGCGAGCCGATCCGGGACTACGGACAAGACAGGATGCCTAGAGTGACCCTTAGTAGGGAAATGATGACTCTTGCCCAGTATTCCTGAAAAGTATTTTCACACCATTTAGCTGACGTCACCCGTTTTTGGATCCACAGATAAGGGAATTTTTCTTTCTACTGGGAGGGCCCCCACAAATCCTATCCGCAGCTCATCGTGGCGGGGGTGAACGGTTTTGGACTGTTTCCAACAAACGTACCAGCTGAGGGTGCGCACGTCGAGAGTCGGCGGAGCTACGCGTGGGATTTTCTCTGCTCGGCCGAAAACGAGTAACAACTATGGTCCTCTATTCCCTGAAGCTGGTGGAACCCCGACAGGCGGACTGGCGGCCGTACCGGCTCGGACGAGGCTGCTAAAATCACAGGGCCAACGGAGATTTGAGTCGCCCAGGACTAGGATGACGATCTGTACTTTCAACGCACGGACGCTTGCATCGGAAGCTCACATCGAAGATCTGATGTTGCAAGCCAGGAAGATCAAGTACGACGTCATCGGACTGACCGAGACGAGGAGGCATCGCCCGCTGCTACACGCCGTGTACGAGACTGGAGAAGAACTGTTCCTCGGAACATGCGACAGCAGAGGCGTTGGCGGTGTGGGCGTCCTCGTCAACACGCACTTGGCCATGAACATCGATTCGTACGAAAGTCTGACGACCCGAATCGGACGTTGCGATTGAGAAGATGTGGTTCAACTCTCCAGCTTTTTAACAATTCTTCGTCGCCTACGCACCAACATCAAGCTACGACGAGGATGAGCTCGAAGCGTTCTATATGGAATTGGAGAAGTTCTACAAGGAAGATCATACCTTCTTCAAGGTCATCGTCGGGTGATTTCAACAAAGTCACATTTAAGATCGACCAGACGAGAACGGCTGAGGAACTTTCATATCGGATACTAGGAACGGTAAGTGGAATGAGGGCAGCGTTGAGACTACTGTGGTCTGACGCGCTTGGCACCCTCTCTGAGTTTATCATGTCGACCCATACCATCCATGGTAACTCGCAGTTCCAGAAGCCCTACTCTCTACGCTGGACATGGGAGTCTCCTGGTGGACAATTCCATAACGAGATCGACCACATCATCTGCAATCGAAGGTTTTGCCTAATCGATGTCGCTGTTGTCCCTAAGTTCTACACGGGATCCGACCATCGTCTCCTTCGCGCAAGATTCCGCTTTTCGATGCGAGGAGAGAGAGCCGCAAAGTTCAAGAAGCGAAGCCCCAAGACCACCATCAACTGGGATCACTTCACTTCTCTCGCTGGGCTCTGGGAGGATTCTGTCATCGACAACATCGACGAGGAATACGAACGGCTTGTTGCACATCTTCACGACTGCGCCAAGAAGTCAGAGGGTTCCAAGATTACCAAGAAGCGTCTATCTCTGGAAACTCTCGAGCTGATTCGCCAACGTGGAGCCGCACGAGCCGCAGGCAATTACCAGCTGACGTCTGAGCTTGCGAAGCTATGCAGAGGAGCGATAAAAGAAGACCTCAAGGAGAGAAGAGCAGCAGTATTGGTGGAAGCCGCAGAGGCTGGGAAGAGCATACGCAACGCCCGCCGCGACTTCGCCAACTGTAAGACCAAGATGACCGCCCTCCGACGTCCGGATGGAACAATCACCGCATCCAGAAGGGCAATGGAGAAGGTCATCCACGACTTCTACTCGGATCTCTTCGACAGCCACGTCCACCTGCAACCATACCGCTTGGAGCTATGGATTGGGATTATGGTCGTTTCCTGCAGTTCTCCCTTTCGGTCCGGACACGTCGCATCTTCCGTCGGTGAGAATCGTACCGGCCACCCGGTCTCCGACGAGCAAAACTCTGGCTCGACTCTTCACGCGCTACCTGTCGGAATGCAAGGTACCCACCTCGTGGAAAACCAGCAAGACTGTGTTGCTGTACAAGAAGGGAGACCTGTACGACATTGGCAATTATCGCCCAATCTGCCTGCTGTCTGTAGTCTACAAACTCTTCACAGACGAGGCCCTGCTCTATACACGCGATTGAAGGAACACTAGACGAAGGACAGCCTATGCGAGCCAAGAGGGTTTTCGATAGAGGATTCAGCAGGGCGATCGATCACATCCACACCGGTTACACGAAGAGCTCATCGAAGTATCGCGAGAGTACAAGATGCCGCTATGTCTCACGTTCATCGACTTGAAGAAGGCCTTCGACTCCGTTGAGACAGAAGCGGTTATCGAAGCCCTGGGCAACCAGGGTATTCCTACTCAGTACATCAGGATTCTTCGTGAGCTCTACAGCAACTTCACGACCAAGATTTCACCATTCTACAAGGAGATCATCATTGATGTGAAGAGAGGGGTCCGACAGGGCGACACCATCTCGCCCAAGCTCTTCGAGTCGTGCTGCTTCTCTCTCTCGAGAACGTCAACTGGAATGGGAAGACATGGGAGTGAAGATCGACGGTCGGCAACTACACCATCTCCGCTTTGCTGACGACATCGTTTTGATAACACCAAACATCGAGCAAGCGGAACGAATGCTGGCTGAATTCGACTGCGCGTGTGGAAAAATCGGCTACGGCTGAAATCTAACGAAGACGATGTTCAATGGAGAAACGCATTGCGCTGACTATCAGCGCTCCATTCACGCTCAACGGAACGACCATCTCTGAATGCTCTAGCTATGTGTACCTAGGTCGTGAAATCAATATGATGAATGACCTAGCTCCAGAGCTGAGCAGGAGGAAGCGAGCGGCTTGGGGAGCCTTCAAGAACATCGAGGGAGTAGCGAAGAAGACGAAGAGAACACGCTGAAGCTCTAGCGTGCGCAGCCTCTTTCGCATATCCCGGTTCCTTTCTGCCTAGACGTACGTCCTCAGAGACGTGAGACTCTACGAAAGCAGGATTGAGGCATTCGCGTCGGCGTTGATTACAACGCGGGCCAGTCGAAAGGGGTATGCTACGAGTTTCCAGCTTGCACGCCAAGCTGATGTAGAGAGAGGAATCCGGAGCTCCGCACTCCGCCAACGATCGAAGATCAGAGACGCCGCCGCATTTGCCAAGGTTTCGAAGATCAGGTGGGCCGGACACGTCATGCGTTTCGAGGACGACCGCTGGACCAGAGCAGTCACCGACTGGATTCCACGGGATGTCAAGCGAACGCCTGGACGACCGCCTATGCGATGGTCAGACTTCTTCGTGAAAGCTCTGAACGAACGGTATGAAGTTCATCGTGTCCCTCGAGCTGCAGAGAGTTCATTGGGCAACTCTTGCACGTTGCAGGGACGAATGGAGACGTTACTGGCGCCCGCTCGAGGAACTCGATGATCAACTGGAGCACAGGTGATACAGGTGGTGATACTGGGAGGTGGAGACGTACTCAGCCACAAGTACTCTGACAAAATCGGGCGAACGGACATGGATAAAGGGCGCCACTCGCGCCGAGTCCTGTTTCTGCAGTTAAGCAACGACTATTCCAATAGCTGACAAAAAAATGTCGATTGAAGAACCGCACTATCGCTTTCCACACACATCTTTTGATTTTTCTTTAGAGTCATGCAGACGCGTTCTTGTAGCTGCTATCGCGCCGGACATAATACCGACGATATAGGAAAGCGATTCGTTCATACGAAGCCCTTTTCCCCGCAATCGACTCATATTACTGGTTGGCGAGGAAGTGCGGTCATATTTTTTTTGGATTGAGGCTTGCTTTTGATGAGGATTTGTGAGATCAGCCGTATCCAACTTCTGTATATTACGGGTCCCTTGTCGCAGAAACGCGGGCCTTTGTGAACGGTACCGCTTCACAAAAGCTTGGTGCACGCAATTTTTGCGGTGCAACGCTCAGATGCTGACGTGGGCGCCCGAAGCTTTTTCCGTCTTTCCCATCATGTGTCGAGCCATCTAGATAGCTTTTCTTGAGTTGACACGTTCTACCATGGTGGCTAGGCGAGCTTGCTCCAGCTTCACAAGTATTCACAAGTTCCACCAGAGTGAGACTCGTAAACCGGAACTAGTGAAGCAGTGAAAGGTGCAAAATGCCCCCGTCGCCGATTTGCGCCTTGCATGAGCATTAACTTGGCTTTTTTTACAAAGTGCGGGTCCGGTAGTATTAAACAGACTGGTGCGAGCAAATATTTTCTCTTCGACTCTCTCCAATCTGAATGGTAAGTGCGTGACCGTGGAGGCAAGGCTATGGAACAGCTCTGCCGTCCAGTAGTCCCGAGTGGTTTTAGAAGCGCAGCTTCCTTACATGCAAGTTCTAATGGCGGGCTCATTTTCCTCATGGGGACTGTTTTTTGTGGTAGGAGCTTTTTCGATAACTGGACGACCGATCCTCTACATCTTCTTCTCGCACACATCCATACTCAGAGTTGTAGAAGAATGAGAATGGAGAAAGCGGGTGCTGACGGTGTAGGACGGAATTGTTGTCCATATTGCTAACGTTTTGACCGTCCTGCATATCCATTACATCAGCTGCGAAGACTATATATTACACTAAAGTTGATGTGCTTTTCCCTGTCCCTTTGTTATTTATTTTATATTCAGATTTATTTCCTCTATTCTTAGTTTTCGCGCTATTTCAGCATAAATCGACCGCGTCAAAGAAGGAACAGCGGTGATCGCAGCAAACAGTGCAGCAACTCCTGTAACGACGCTAAAATGGGTATAGTCAAAAAAAACCCATACTGGGCAACAAGTCTTTGAAGACCGCATTCAAAGTGAGTATTTCGTCTAGACCTAGACTTTTTTCTCACATTCGCAAGAACCAAGTAAAATCAATTCAAAAAACCTTTCCCGCAACCGCTTTAATTGAAAATTTTTTTCAAGTCAAATTTCAGCATAAGAATGTGAGATTATTCAAAATACTTTTACTTGAATATAAATAATTGAAAAATTATAATATATGTATATTTATTTTTGCTATTTAAGTGCTTTGTTTATTAAACTAACGATACTATAATCTGCGAAGAAAGTAAAACATGAATTCATCCCAGTTTACTCTACGTGGCCCCTTGCATCAACTAAATGTAAAATCGGCGCTTTTCCACCAGTTCATTACGGTATAATTTACTTAATTTTGAGAGAGAAGAGCTCTTATGGGCCATTTTAGCATTTAGGGTGCTGAGCGTATATCTGACAATAAATGCAAAACAGTTGCCCCATGCTGGAATCGAACCAGCGACCTTCTGTTTACAAGACAGACGCTCTGCCACTAAGCCAATGAGGCACGTTGGTTGTTCTCGGCGGGCACGTTCATCAATCTCCAGTTCTCTTCGATCGTCACGCAGCCGCCTACATTGAACAAAACAAAGATCTCGCTTTGACGCTCTAGAACACTTCTTGAAGGTTTAGCTTCCAAGAGGTATCTCCTCCTTAATTACTGGATATTTCGGCAAAACTAGTTGTCAGGTCATATTTTAGCTGTCCATTCATCTGTTGAGCAAGAAAATACAGGGAACATCGTACGCTGGGGACCTCTCCAGCGAGGGGATCGTATATGGTTGCTGGAGGGAAAGGGGGTGTCGTTTTTGCTAAACAAAAATGTTTTTGGCTGTTTACTTTTCCTGTTTCAGAAACGACATTTACCTCCCCATCCACTGCTCGACACAGAGCACATAGCCGTTCGGGATCTCCCAACAGGGGGCGTCGTATTTGGTCTGAGAAAAATTTTTTGATAGTTGACTTCTCTTGTTTCAGGGACGTTGTGAAGGGGGAGAAAGCGTATTTCCCTCTGGGCCTTCAGAGAGAGGTTGCTGACTTTTCGTGGTTTTTTCTGATTCATACGCACTATATACCCTGCGCCCCCCCCCTCCCGCTCGACAGCAAAATTTTTGAGGAAAAGTAGGAAAATTTTCGGGGAATTCCGGAAAAAGTGGTAGGAAGTTGGGGAAAATCTAAGAAACGGTAGAGAGGGGCGTATTTTCTTTGCGGTTTTTCCGTTTCACATGTGCTATCCCCCGCTCAACAGCTCGATGAGGAGGGAGAACCAGGAGGGGGTCGTGCGGACTCGACCAAAATCCCTAACTAATGATGTGCCTGGCTCGACAGCAGTTGCTTGGAAAAAAAAGTGGTGGCAAGTTGGGAAAACCCACGAGCATGGTAGGAAGGATGGATCAGGGAGGAGGTTGTAACAGAGAAGAACATTTTGAGGGGAGCGGTCGTATTAGCAGAATTTCCCCAAGGGCGG